GCTACCACCAATAATAATAATGAAAAGGGAAATAACAAGGAAAGAGAATACCACCGCTCACCGCCAGTCAACCAATACCCAGCACAACCCGAGCAGCGATGTAGCCCTTCCGAGTAACTGCCCCCAGCTTATATACTGTGCATGTGTGCTGTGATATGGAATACCCCACTGGCTAGTTTGGGTCAGGTGTCCTGTCTCTGCTTCCTCTCGGCTTCCCCTCCTCCCTGGCAGAGCATGAGACTCAGAAAGTCCTTGGTCAGAGTAAACATTACTTAGCAACACCTAAAAACATCGGTGTTATCAGCGCTGTTCCCAAGATGAAAGTCAAAAACACAGCAATGCACCAGCTACTAAGAAGGAGAAAAATGACTGCTACTGCTGACAGTATCTACCCCTTATTCCGTACCATTCACATCATGTTCACATCCCACATTTTTCAATATACCATCACTCTTGTCATTATATATATATACACACACACACACACAAAGAGAGAGAGACATCATTCCTTAGGGCATGAACCAATCCCTATAAAGCTCCTGAGTTCATATGGTCCATGATACTGGGCTCCATCTCTTGTAACAGTCTTTCAGAGCAGGAGAGGCTGTGTGCAGTGTTGGATCGTTGCCTACTGATGACACCACGGAACTCATCTGGTCACTGCTGAGCTCATCTGGTTTCGTTAAAGTTCATTCTTTGTTGGAATGATGGTCGGAGGGAAGTCAGGGTCAGTCACTGGTGACCTGAAGATATCTACTTGGTGGGTTATAAAAGCGTTACATAGCAGGCAACAGCATACAATTGAGTTCATTGGCTGTTTTCCCCTAAAATCAAATCCCCTTGAGGTATACATGGGACTTCCCCATTTTCCCACATTACCCACCAAGTATATCTGGGTCCCTGAGCAAAAGCAGTCCCACGAGTGGGTTTGTCTTTACCTGAAGCAGGAATAACCCAGAATGTCTTCCTCAGCAAATTCTTCACGTGCATCACAGGAACTTTGTCCCCTTCAACAGTATGTAAAAGTTCTGACTGGGCTGGGCCAGCCCTGTTGGCAGATCCTCTGGTGTTGACCAACCAGGTGGCCTTTGGTACGTGTGTATCCCAATGCTTGAAAGTTCCCCCACCCATTGCTCTCAGGGTAGTTTTTAACAGCCCATTGTACCATTTGATTTTCCCAGATGCTGGTACATGGTGGTAGGGGATGTGATATACCCACTCAATGCCATGCTCTTTGGCCCAAGTATCTAGAAGGTTGTTCCAGAAATGAGTCCCATTGTCTGACTCAATTCTCTCTGGGGTGCCGTGTCGCCACAAAATCTGTTTCTCAAGGCCCAGGATAGTGTCTTTGAAGTACCCTCTCCTGAGGTAGTCTATGCCAAGGATGCATGGAGCCTCTGGACCAGTCACAATGGTGTGCTTTTTCCATTTCCTCACAGTCAGGCTAATTTCAGCCTCAGTACCGTCAACTCTTGGGAGCCTCCTGTCACTCCAGAAATATAAAGGGGTTCCACCCCTTCACAGCTTGGTGGTATGAGGGTACACTGTGCACTGGTATCTACTAGAGCCTTATACTTCTGTGGGATCCACACAGTCCGGTAAATCCTACTGTCCCCTACCTCCACCTGGCTGGAGGCAGGGTGCCTCTAATATTCATCACAACTTTGAACACTTAAGTCTTGTTGAAAGGGATTATTCTTCATTATCACAGGAGCTGGAGTAAAATCAGTTCTTCCACTCCATCTGGGAACCTGTTCACCAGAGCCTGAAGCCACAGCTTTCATGGGATGATCATCCTTGACCTTTGTTCTCCTCTTCAGTTCACGTACCCATTCCTCCAGAGCTGAAGTAGGTTTTCCATCCCGCTTTGTCATGTCTTCTCCGTGATCTCATAGGTAAAACCATAGGGTGGCCCATGGCGTATAACTTCTATATCTTCTCTCTCAAACAATAGGACGCCTCTTGTTAATAGCTGAGACGTGTGTTGGTACACGTGAGGAGCTGGATAAATCAGATAGATCATCCCTCAATTGTTTGAGATCCTGGGACAGTTTTTTCACAGCTGAGATGATGGAAGGGGTGAGATTTTCATCGAACTCTCAGAGTTGATGAATCATTTCATCCACTGTTGGTGGTACTATGTCATTCCAGGTCACTGTTGCCAGTGAATGGGGATATGATGACGGTGCATTCCGTGTAAGTTTTCACCACATGGGTTGTGTACTTTTGACTTCATCCGGGTCAATGGGTATATCCCCGTTATTCAGCTTGATGTGATAGATCATCTCTACGATGGCTGATTCCCTCAGAGACTGGATGCCTTTGTCTAAAGTAGTCCACTTGGCAGAACGACTCATAACATCATCCTTGCATGGAAACCTTTCTTTCACAGCTGCCAAGAGCCGCCTCCAAAGACTGAGGGACTTTTTCTCTCTTGCAGTTGCTTTGTCAATTCCCCCTTCTCTAGCAAGTGATCCCAGCTGCTTGGCTTCTGTACCTTCTACTTCATGACCATTGGCCCCATTGTCCCAGCATGGAAGCAACCAGGTGATGATGTGCTCCCCTGGTTGACAGGTAAAATCTTTCTTCATATTCTGTAGCTCAGTTGAGGTCTGAGGTCAAGAAGTTACCTCTTCTTCTTCTTCTTTGTCATGTGATGATGACTCCTGGTCAAATGCTGGACCGGGTGGTGAATACATTGTTTCTTCATCTTGCTTCACCCTTCTTGCCTCTTTTTTGCTTGCTCTCTTGCGTACAGGGGCAACTGATATTGGTACGAATTGGTCCTCTGGTTTAGCTGAAGTGATTATCACTGTGGTTTGAGTAGCAATTGTGCTTGTCGCTGGGGGTGGTGTAGCTGCTGTGCTTGGAGCTGGGGAGCTGCGCTGTCAGAGTCGAAGTTTGAGTAGCTGCTGTACTTGTTGCTGGGGTAGCTGCGCTATCCGTTGCAGCCTAAGTTTGGGTAGCAACTGTACTTGTCACTGGGGGTGATGTAGCTGCTGTGCCTGGAGCTGGAGTAGCTGCGCTGACTGTTGCTTTGCCCTCAGATCCACCGACATTTTTTTCCTTTTGAAGGTGCTGGATAGTCTTGAACAAGGCCCTGTAAGCATAAGCCAAGCCCCAGCATGTTGCCATGATTTGTCCATCTCTGGTATGGCCAGAATGACAACACACCTCATTGAAGTGTTTTAGTAATTTTTCTGGATTTTGCACTTGTTCGGTGGTGAAATTCCAAAGTACTGGAGGGGCTCACTGACCTAGATACTTGCCTATACTATCCCACACACCCTGCCACTCATGGCTGTCCAGCCTCAGGGAAAATCTCTTGGTCCTCCTATATCTTCGTTTAAATCCAGAAAAGACCCAAACCTGACTCTGCTTAACTCTTGAAATCAGACGAAATGGTTGTGTGCAGAACATACTCTGTATGTTTGCCAACATGGTGATCCGCCTTACAATCAGCAAACAGGTCTCAAAAGTATTAAAAGGCTATTCAAAACCTTCAAAACTCTCAAATGAAGCTGTAAACGGTCTGGGGGGGGAGGACTGGGAGGGTAAAAGAATGTCTCCTTCACAGGTTGACCACCCAAGAAGGAGAAAAAAGATGTGTAATTGCTAAGCACTTCTATTATATACCTCCCAAAGTAAAAAGGTGGTGACCACACTGGGAACATAAGCCAGATCAGTTTCATGATCTATTGTATTACAAGTCATTACCATAAAGTACAATGAGACAAGAACCTTAGCCCAAGCCCCACACTTGAAAAACACTAACACAGCAAATACCTGATCTAAGATGCAATATACTGAAACTGTGAGATCAAGAGGAACAACTTTGAGAGCCAATAAATCAGCATTGTGACGAGTGACTATTAATCTAAAACAATGAATGCTTATCACAAATACGATTAGACACACTCCGGTAAGATCTGTCGTTATCTCAACCCCTCGTGCCCCACACTGGGTGCCAAAAGAACTGTTGTGGTTTAAACCCAGTCAGCCACACAGTTTCTACTCCCCCCCTTCTTTCTTTCCTTTCCCCCCCTCCCTGCTCCCGGGGGGATGGGGAGGAGAATCAAAAGAATGTCACTACCATGGGTTGAGATAAGAACAGTCCAGTAACTAAGGTATAATACAAATCACTACTGCTACAACCAATAATAATAATGATAAGGGAAATAACAAGGGAAGAGAATACGATACCACCCGCCGAAATGAGCCCAACCGAGAAGAGAAGTGCCCTTCTGGGTAATTCCCAGTTACCTCCCCAAGCATGACCTTCTGTGGTATGGAATACCTCTTTGGCTAGTTTGGGTCACGTGTCCTGTCCCTGCTTCCCCCAGGCCTCCCCTCCTCCCTGGCAGAGCATGAGACTCACAGGGTGCTTGGTCAGAGTAAACATCAGTGTTATCAGCTCTGTTCCAAGGCTGAAAGTCAAAACACAACGCTGCACCAGCAGAAAAATTGACTGCTACTGCTAAACCCAGGACACCAAGAGATGGCACAACCCTGGCTGAGAGGTGAATCCCATCAGAGAACCCACCAACATGCCAGCATGACCAGCAGAGAGACCCCAGAGAGCCATGCTCTACCAGGAACAACTTTAATGGGCACAAGTCTGGTGTGTGGGTGCACCCACTGAACTTCTGCACCGTTCGAAAATAGACATTCAACAAATTTACAAAAATAGACTATTTCAGCTGCTGAAGGGGGCCAGGGGCAGAGTTATTCTGTCTTCACTGGGGAAGGACCTTCTTGGTGACCAGCAGCAATGGCTGAAGATGGAGCCTTTCCCACCCATCATCCCTGGCCTTAGGACACGAGAGGGAGTGTTGGAAAGCACTAGGGACCCTGTCCCTGCCCCTTCTATTTCCTGCAGCTCCCACTGCCTGGGCAAGCATCCCTCCCTCCTGCCCCAAGGATGCCAAGACAAGGGATGCCTATGGAAAACTGGGGAGGGGGCTGGCAGAGGTGAGGGGCAGCAGCCATGATGTGGATCCCTGGGCTCCAGCAGCCCCTGAGGTGGGTGTGGTAGCAAAGCAGATGGTGTTGGTCCTTCCTGCAGTTGTCCTTGGAGTAGCGCAGCCACAGTGGCGCTCTGCCTGATCTTGGGCTGCAGTTCGATGCTGTTGGAGCTGTTCTACAAATCAGAGGACTTCCTCACCTTCAGCACCATGGTCCAGTACCAGAGGAAGATGAGGAAACCTGGGAGAGGAGGAAGGAAGGGTGGGTGAATCCCCTTGAGGGACCAACAGCAGCCAGACAGGGACAGCTCCTCCCATACCCCATCACCACCACACCAACACCAACACCACTTCAGAGGGGCCCTGCATCCCTAGCTCACCTTGGAGGGAGTTGATGATGGTGAAGAGGTAGAGAGAGATGAGGCTGAAGATGCCAGAGGTGAAGGAAAAGAAGACCTGCACAGGGAATGCCCAGCAGGATGCTCAGCCCAAAGAGGGTGAGTTCATGCTTGAGCTGGTGGCCTTTGTTGTTCTGCTGGAGGATCTCCTGGACCATGGCCCCCAGCATGACCGAGTTAAAGAACACCAGGCTGAAGAAACCCGGGTTCACAATGTTATGGATCAGAGGGCTTATGATCCAGCATCTGGAGGGGGGAGAAAGGGCAGAGGGTTACGCTGTGTCATCCCACGGGGATGTGAGTCAGAGGGGCTGGGAGAAACACAAACGTGTTGTGCAAGCCCAGAACCCAGATTAGTGAAACAAGGGGGGGATCCCACCACCACCCTGCACAGAGCCCCAGAAAAGCCACAGGTGGGCTGAGGAGAGCCTGTAGGACACAGTGAAGGTTTAGCCAGTTGACTTCATCTAAGACCAAGGACAAGGCAACCCAATTCCCATGACTTACATGGTTGCATTGGTGGATTTGCCACCAACAGATTCATAGATGAGAATGGAGAAGGGGCCGTAGTTTCTCCAGCTGGCCATGAAGATCAGCATCACACAAAGGGGAGTCCTGGGTGGCAAGAACAGAGTGAAGTGGCCAACCTAGTCCCCAGCCCTCGGAGCTCCTTGAAGGATTCATTGTCCCTTTCTCTCTGTACAGAGTACAAACCAACATCCTCCCCACCAAGGGGGAACCAAGGATGGAGCACACAACAGGGATACCTAGTGTAAGCCCTGGCCCAGGAGCAAGCTGTGCTGTATCAACCCCGGAGAGAGGATCTCCCAGGGCTGTGGAATTTTAGGCCAGGAAAGATCATGAGATCTTCCTACCCCAGCCTCCTGCCCAAAGCATGTCAGAGATGTGTGGGTGCTTCCTGCATCAAGCCCATCTCTGGGCTGTCCTGGGTGTTGCCTTCAGAAAGAGAATCCCATTTTTGCCATGACCCAAAGCAATGGCTCTCACATGACTCCCTTGCTGGGTGACCCCCAGGGTGACCCACCCTTGCTCCAGCACCAGCTTCTGCTCTCAGCCACCGAGTCTCTTTCTCCACCGAGTCTCTTGACAGAGACCCCTCTGCTTTCAGACATCTGTTTCCCCACAGCCACATCTCCATCCCCATACAGGCACCATCTGTGGTGGGGGCAAACCTACCCAGGTGCCCTCCACCCTATGTCCTGTGCCCTTGGGGCATCTCTGCCTCCTCCATGCTCACCCCAGCCCACCAGGCAGATCTTGAGGAGGAAGTGGTCATGGTAGGTCCTGAAGACTTCAATCACAAGCTAGTAGAGGTTGTAGCCCTCGATGACCACCCAGGCATGGCAGCTCAGGAGGAAATACAGGAAGAGCCCACCAGCTCTGAAGACAGCCCTGCTGCTGCTGGAAGCCAACTGCTCAGAGATGAGGAAGGTGATGGATGTATTAGAGACTGTAGTGATAGGACAAGGGGTAACGGGTTAAAACTTAAACAGGGAAAATTTAGATTGGATATAAGAAGGAAATTCTTTCCTATTAGGGTGGTGAGGCACTGGAATAGGTTGCCCAGGGAGGTTGTGAATGCTCCATCCCTGGTAGTGTTCAAGACCAGGTAGGAGGAGGCCTTGGGTGATATGATTTAGCGTGAGGTGTCCCTGCCCATGGCAGGGGGGTTGGAACTATATGATCTTAAGGTCCTTTCCAACCCTATTTATTCTATGATTCTATGTGATATCCAGCAGGAAGATGGTGCCCAGGAGGTTCATGTGGATGTGCATGCTCGTGATCTGGAGAATCAAGGTGGGAGACCTCACCACCATGCCTGGCCAGCATCCTTGGTGCCTCACAATACCTCACAGCTCTGCATGGGGCAACTTGCCCAGACAGAACAGCACGGAGACACTCTAGTAGTGTGAGGGGGTGAGAGCTTTACCCCACAGGTGGGACCACCATTTCATGTGCAAATACAAGTCCCTGCAGCTGAGGCCTCATTTCCGGTCTGGGCCAAAGGGGGAGGGAGCAACATCATTTCAGCGCTGAATCATCCATGTAGGATCTGATGGGACCTGATGAAATCCATCTGAGGGTCCTGAAGGAGCTGGCAAATGAAGTTGCTAAGCCACTGTCCATTATATTTGAAAAATCATGGCAGTCGAGTAAAGTTCCCGATGACTGGAAAAAGGGAAATATAATCCCCCATTTTCAAGAAGGGAAAAATGAATGACACAGGGAACTACAGACCAGTCAGTCTCATCTCTGTGCCTAGCAAAATCTTGGAGAAGATTCTCCTGGAAGGTGTGCTACAGCACATGAAAAACAACAAGGTGCTTGGTGACCGCCAGCATGGCTTCACTAACAGGAAATCCTGCCTGACCAATTTGGTGGCCATCTGTGATGGGGCTATGGAACTGAAGGACAGGTGCAGAGCACTTGATGTCATCTACCTAGACTTGTGCAAAGCGTTTGACACTGTCCCGCACGACATCCTTATCTCTAAGTGGCAGAGACATCAAACTGATAGATGGACAACTTGGTGGATAAAGAACTGGCTGGCTGGCTGCACGCAAAGAGTTGTGGTCAATGGCTCAATGTCCAGCTGAAGAACAGTAACGAGTGGTGTCCCTCAGGGATCGGGACTTGTCTTGTCCAACATCTTTGTTGATGACATGGACAGTGGGATTGAGTGAGCCCTCAGCAAGTTTGCTGATGGCATCAAGCTGTGTGGTTCGGTTGGAGACCTGGAGGGAAGGAATGCCATCCAGAGAGACCTTGACACACTTGTGAGGTGGGCTGATGCCCAACTCATGAAGTTTAATCATGCCAAGTGCAAGGTCCTACACCTGGGTCGAAGCAACCCCAGGCACAGCTACAGGTTGGGCAGAGAAGAGATCCAGAGCAGCCCTGTGGAGAAGGACTTGGGGGTGTTAGTCGATGAGAAAATGAACATGAGCCGGCAGTGTGCGCTTGCAGCCCAGAAAGCCAACCGTATCTTGGGCTGCATCAAAAGGAGCGTGACCAGCAGGTCGAAGGAGTTGATCCTGCCCCTCTACTCTGCTCTTGTGAGACTTCACTTGGAGTACTGTGTGCAGTTCTGGTGTCCTCAACATAAAAAGGATATAGAACTGCTGGAACAAGTCCAGAGGAGGGCCACGAGGATGATTCAGCCTGTATGAAGACAGGCTGAGAAAGTTGGGGCTGTTCAGCCTGGAGAAGAGAAAGCTGCGTGGAGACCTCATAGCAGCCTTCCAGGATCTGAAGGGGGCCTATAAGGATGCTGGGGAGGGACTCTTCATTAGGGACTGTAGTGATCGGACAAGGGGTAACAAGTTAAAACTTAAACAAGGGAAGTTTAGATTGGATATAAGGAGGAAGTTCTTTACTGTATGTGTAGTGAGGCACTGGAATGGGTTTCCCAGGGAAGTTGTGAATACTCCATCCCTGGCGGTGTTCAAGGCCAGGTTGGACAGAGCCTTGGGTGCTATGGTTTAGTGTGAGGTGTGGTGCCCATGGCAGCAGGGTTGAAACTAGATGATCTTAAGGTCCTTTCCAACCCTAACTATTCTATGATTCTATGATCAGTGACATAACTCAGGAGAAGACACTCATGTTTGCCAGTTGGCCCTTGAAAGATCTTTGCAGGCTTCTGCTTCCTGGGTCCATTACAACAACCAAAAAACATTGAAAACAGCCAGTGCTTTTGAGAACAATGCAGGAGACTTGACCAAGGGGATAGTTTCTGGAGAGGAGAAATATGCTTTCTTCAAGCATGGTGATTCGGAGAAAACTCCAGGAACAAACTCGCCAACAAAGTTTAAGTTGACAAGCAGGTATTCTTCATTGTGGCCCCGGGAGACATGGGGTATAGCTCCTCCTAATGTGTGTCCCCGTATTGCTACACAAGCCGTCCTTATATAGTCACTGGGCATACATACATATTCACGAGGCTACGTACAAAAATATAGTGGTGGTCTCTGATGGTCCTTTACTTCTTCTAACAATCTTCATCACTTCTGGCAGCCTTTGAAGCACCAGCTGTAGATGTTTACACCAGCTTAATGGGTTCATTAACACTACAGACATAGCAATCATCCTGTCCTTCTACTTATTAGTTAGTTTAACTGCACTCATCCTGGACAACTGCTAGTCCCAGATACTCCCCACCCCCAGGTCCTGTTTTTCTATTCTGTTTTTCTTACACTTTTTCTACTAAGGTCCTAAGGACCTAAAACTATGTCAACTACAGTGATTTATCTGCATGCACCTCAGTTATTTTCCACTGCTACTGTTACAAAGCCATCAACTTAATGTTACTTAAAACGCATTCCACTTATTTACAAAGGTTTATATTCCATTTTGTGCTTTTGTGCCTCCTTGTCTCAAATTCACCCTTTTTCCGTCCTTTTGCAAATTCTTTTGCAACATTTTATATACTTCCATTACCATCTAGAGTCTTTTTGAAACAATTTCCTGTATCTACTTGATGCTTGATTTCATTTCTCTTCCAATCTTCATAATTTATCATAGATCATTTACAATACCAGAAGGAGCATTTTATCATACCACAAGTAATCAATATTAAAACAATTAATATTCCTGCAACCAGTTTCCTCAACCAGGAGAGATTAGGTAACCATGAAGTTAACTTCTTCCATATTTCTTCAATACCCCAGGAGGTATCATCCTTGGCCATTTCATGAAATATTTTTGTTTGCTTCCAAATTTCCTCCAGATCTGTTTCAATTCTGCCACTTTGATCTATGTAGGAACAGCAACTCTCATTGATTATGGAACAAACCCCTCCTTGTGAAGCCAATAACATGTCTAGAGCCATTCGGTTTTGTAATACCACTTTAGATAGGCTAGTTATCTCTTTTTGTTCTGCTTGGATTATATCAGTAGTTTTACTTTCCATTTCCTCTATGGTTGCTGAGATGTTTACGATTGCCTTCTCTAATTCACTTACTCCCAAAGATGGAATTAACCATCTCACAAAACTATGAAATGCAGTGTTATGTTCAGCAATAGGGTTAAACCCTCGCTTAATCCATTTAGCAAAACTTCTAACCCAGGTTCCAGAAGGATACATGTCAATAATTGTAAGATAGGGTATCACAGCACCTAAGGTACATGCCCCCTTCCAGCTGAGGGGTAGAGTCTCATAAGCATTTTCTCCACATAACCAATACCATCTTTTCCCTTCAGGAACGGGCCACCACTGAACTACGATACCATCTATATTAACAATGTGATTGCAATTTGAATAGTGACCTACATCTGTGGCATTTAAAAAAACATAATCTCCTACTCTGGTTCCTGGTGTAATACATCTTTGTACACAGGTCTAATATTCTTTACTTGGATTAGGATTAACTATCCCAAATCTTTATCTTTCCCTCGGACATAGATTGCTAGTGCTCATCCACAAATCTGTCCATGAGACAGTGCTGGGAATTGGAATGCAAATTAATGGAAGGTCAGGATTTTCTCCTGATTTAGGCAACTGTGCATACACCCAACATTCACAACAATTAACAACTTTAGTAACTGCCCTGGGTTCAGCAGTAGCAGTCATTTTTTTCCTTTAGCGTAAGGTGTCCCTGCCCACAGCAGGGGGGGTTGGAACTAGATGATCTTAAGGTCCTTTCCAACCCTAATTATTCTATGATTCTATGTTTCTTAGTAGCTGATGCAGAGCTGTGTTTTTGACTTTCAGCCTGGGAACAGCGCTGATACCACCAATGTTTTTAGTTGTTGCTAAGTAATGTTTACTCTGAACAAGGACTTTGTGAGTCTCATGCTCTGCCAGGGAGGAGGAGAAGCCAGGAGGAAGCAGAGACAGGACACCTGACCCAAACTAGCCAAAGAGGTATTCCATACCACAACATGTCATGACCAGTACATAAAGAGAGGGCAGTTCCCCTGAAGGGCTAGATAGCTGATCGGGACGGGCTGGGTATCGGTCAGTGGGTGGTGAGCAGTTGTATTCTCTTCCCTTGTTATTTCCTTATTATTCTTATTGGTGGTATCAGTAGTGGTTTGAGTTATACCTTAGTTACTAGAATGTTCTTATCTAAACCTGTGGGAGTTATACTCTTTTGATTCTCCTCCCCATCCCTCCAGGAGCAGGGGGAGGAAGGAGGGGGTAGTGAGCAAGCGGCTGCATGTTTCTGGGTTGTCAGCTGGGCTTAAACCATGACAGTAATATTCTGCATTAAGTTCAATTATATAAGTTCAAATTATGACCGACGCAATTTCATAAGTAAGGGTCCTGAAGGTTCGATCCACCATGTCTTCTCTGGCTCTGGTGCTTTCTTTATTCTTGAATAATGTATCCAAACAGGTTGTTCCTTTATCTTTGCTGCTGTAAAGGTGGTCAATAATATCTGGTATGGTCCACTCCACTTCTCCTCTAGGGGATCTCCTGAAAAATTCTGAACATAAGCCCAGTCTTCGGATATGAAAGGGTGAATTGGATAATCCAAGCCTCTCACTCTTGTCCCTAATATTCTCTTATTTATTTCTTCTAATTGCTTTCCCAGATTGACCAGAAACTGCCAGAGATAGCCTTCTCCCACTTCCTGAAGACTTTCTCCTTTAAACTGGGACTTATATGGTCTTCCATATAAAATTTCAAATGGGCTAACCTCTTCTTTCGACCGAGGTTTAGTTCAAATTCTTAATAGAGCCAGTGGTAAGGCTTGGTACCAATATAAATTCATTTCCTGACATATTTTACTAATCTGTTGTTTAATCATAGGGCTCATCTTTTCTACTTGCCCACTGGCCT